CCGGGAGGAAGACGCGGCTGCGGAGGCTCCCGCCAGGCCCAGCTAAGGGGTGGTTTGTTCATATTTGATCAGTCCCACAAGGAGCTGTAGAGGGGAAAAGGCTGCTAGAGCAGAGAGGTGTTTAGAGGGAGGAGAGCTAAAGGAGACGAGCACCCTACACCAAATGGACGCCCGCTCCATGTTTTTCCTGAAAGCAGAGTTTTTCCAAGCACCAGAGGGGTTTCCTGTAAAGCAGGGGTAAAGCAGATGTGTCCAAGGCTGTTAAGGGCGGGGAAGGCTCAGTTAAACTCATGGAGCATCTCTGGACTCCGAGTTGTGATCCAGGATGACGGATTAAGAGAGCGTGCAACGTCCCCACCTCGATCACCGGGCCTAAGTATCAGCCATGTAAATCAGATTTAACTTTGGATTCACAGTTTTCTGTAAAACCCCAGAACACCAGTACCCAACTAGGGCACAGCAGCTAACAGGCAGGCAGGAGGTGGAAGCATATGAACAAGCCCACTCCTTAAGGACCTGGACCACCGTGGAGAGACTCAGGCATAGCTGTGACCCTGCCAGTCCCAGCAGTGGCAAAGAGAAACACAGAAATCCAGGGAGAGACGTCCCTGTCCCCAAATCTACGTGGTCACTGCTGCCCGTGCATCCTCTCTTGGGAAGGGCAGAGAGGTGCAGCAGACAGACGGGCTCGGGGTGACACCGAGAAGCCGGAGCACCGCAGCTCGCAGGCTCGTGCCGTCACGCTGCTGCAGCACGAACCCCGCAGGCAGCAGGCGACGAAACCCGCGCTGTGGCTCAGGCTGCACCCCTGCGCCGGCGCAGGCGTCGCACGGACAGAGGTCACCGCGAAGACGGCTGGACCAAGGAGCAGTCAAGCAGCCTTGTCTTTCTTGACAAACAGCTTTCAGATTACTCGTGCCTCCACCTCCATTTCGCTGCCGGCAGCTTATCTCCCCCTCCAGCCTCGCGCTCCCAGCGCACACAGCATCTCCCTCACTAGCAGAACCCATCTCAAAGCCAGGCAGAGGCGAGAGCGAGCAGCCAGGTTCTCCTCACTGCAGAGCTCCTCTCCACCCACGGCAGCGCCTGCACACACAAGCCAGGCTCCAGCCTTCCGCCGCTTTACCTTGGAGAGAAACTGTTGAGTGAAATACAGCTCCACTGCCAACTCAGGCCGACTACGGTGCCGAGCTAGAGGTTGGAATAAAGTTTAGATTAAAGAGAGAGGGACCTGTTCAGCTTAAGAAGAAAGGAGGGAAAAAAAAACCAGCAGAAAGACTGGCCCCTGGGCTGACGAACAGACAGCGCTGCAACGCAATCAAATCCACGAGCCACGCTCGTGGTGTTTCTACCCCTGCAAGCCAGAGCGAGATGAGGCGTCCCATGGTCATCCTGTCGCAGTGTTTTGACACGCACCAAACCTGAGGAGACGCGATCTTCTAAGCAGAGGAACGGCGCGGGCAGGCGGGCCAGCGCCGGCGCGGCTGCCGGCACGTGTGCGCCCGCAAGCACGAGCGGGAGAGACCGTGCAGGAGAGCGCCGGCGTGCGGGAGAGCGGGAGGGGAGGAACGCGCTTAACGCAGCCACACTTACAGCCTTTGGCTTGAAGGGAGGCTGGATCTCCTTGCGCTCCAGCTTATCCCAGTCGATGTAGCGGAAGAACGCGTGCTCCTTGATGTCCCGCTCCCCTTCTGGGCCACATCCCAGTCGCTTGGCAGGGTGCTTGGTCATCAGCTTGGGGAGAGGAAGAGAAGAAACAGTCACCCACAGAGTAGCCAACTGCTTCCCAAAATGTCCACTTTGAGAAGTCCCCCGGGTGCCCGCACCACGCGGCCGCTGCCCCGGGACGTCCCGCATCGGGGTCCGGACCCCCGGATCAGGCTCCCGCCTCCTCTGCCTGCTTTTGGTGCTTGAAGCAGAGGACAGAGGGAGAAGGCAGAGCAGCTCCAGGGAGAGGGAAGGGTGACAATGGCTTACGCAGCAGACTGAGCAGGTACATGAGCACTGGGTGGGATGAGCACATCCCCTTTTCCTCTGAGAATGAAATTGGTTCACCAAGAAATAACGTCAGGGCGCTGGTAGAGCTGCCCGCACCGCTGCAGCCTCAGCAACCTCCTGCAACGGGGGGAGCAGCACACATGCAAAGCTGCTTAGCGGTCCCTTTGCTTGGTAGCAAACTTCTCAGCATCTGCACAATTAATTTTAAAGGCCACCGCCCGTTTAAGAGGAACCATCTGCCCTTGAAAACTTTTGTTAGCCCTAGAAGCAGAGCCCCCACTTCTCTGGAGCCACGGCAGCCCAGACAAGAGGCGTACTCAGCCCATCGGTGTTGTTTATCATCTAAACTTCTCTTCACTGGCTCAGTAAGGAAAGTGAAACGGGCCGTGGGAATTAAGGGCGGCTGTACAAACATCAATATCCTGGGGGCATTATTCGAGCTGTGTTCAGAGATCAGATGGAGATTCCAGAGATTTGTAAGATGTTGATAAGCACGGAGAATATGAGCAGTACACCTGCAACAAAAGGACTACTTTATTAAAAGCAGGGCAGCTAAAACTGGTCCCAGAGCCGTGCAGAGGCGGCAGCAAGCCTGACCCTGTGTCCCAGGGCTGTGGGTCTGCAAGAGACTCCCACTGCCCTGCCGTGAGCCCCTGGGAGGGACAGGGCACCCGCGGCTCTGCGGGAGGTGCTAACGCTCCAGCCGGAGAGCTGAGGAACCTCCCTGCCCTTCTGCGGAGACTGGCTCACCCCCAAAAGACAAGGATTTTATAAGCAAGCATCGTCTGACACCAACACACGCCTCAGCCCAAGCACCCCGGCGGCAGGCAGCTCGCCGTGCCACGGGGAGTCACGGACCCCCACCAGGTCCCGTGTCCAGGCAGAGCTCCTCTGCCCCAAGGTGTAAGTGTTTTCACCCAAGTCAGCCCCGCCATCCCTGACGGCAGAAACAAGCATGCTCAGGGAAGCTGATCTCTAAAAGCAACGCTACAACAGGGAGCTGAAAGCAAGGAAACGCCTGCAAAAAAAAAAAAAAGAAAGAAAACCTTAAAAAGAAAAAAATCCCCAACAAATGTGAATTAAGAGCGGAGCTGCTAACCACTCTGCCAGCAAACAGCACT